CTAAGCTTTATGGTTTTTAAGTTCATCTGGCCACATTTTTAATGAAATTCTTACCAAAAATGACCGGAATTACGCTGCCATATGTTGCGAATAAGAAAAAGGCGGGCTAACACATTCACACACAGCAAAGACCCATTCACACGCTTCGGCGTTTCTGTATTTATTTGTTGTTTTTGGCGTTGTTGTTGTTTTATTTCAATTTGTATTTGTTAGAGGGATTCCCTCACACTGGGGTGCCTTTGTTTTAATTATGAAACTTTGAGGACTGCAGTTATTTTAACGAGAAGGAGGCGTGACAGCGCGTGCGACGTTCCAGCAAAAACTTTTTCATCTGTTGAGGCTGCTCTGCTGCGGAGGAATGCGGCGACGCCGAAGCTGACATTGACTGAGACGCCGGCCGCGCAGCCTGCGCCGACGCAGACACAGACGCCAAAAAGGAAAAGCCAGCAAGGAAAAGGCTAGGAAAAGCCCGAGAAGAAGCCAAGAGAAAAGTCGACAGAGACGGACAATGGCAGTCAATAAATAGGCGAGTCTATGGTTGTGTGAGTCTTTTGAGAATTTTCCTATAAGTGCATGTATGTATGTAAGTGTGGGTGAGTGTGTGTGTCTGTTGTTGTTGTGCTTGGGAAAACAAGTGGTTGCCGTGGTGAGAAGAAAATGGGCACAAAAATAGAGCGAAAGGATTTTGGCGGCATATGGAAAAGCGACTGCAATGTCACCCTTTTCTTTCTATTTTTGTATCTTTTTTAATTATAATGTTAATTATTTTATTAAATCAGGTCTTATAAGTCGAGAAAATAGCGAATAATGTCCTTTTTTTCTAGCTTTTTTAGTAAATACTATTGCTACTGGGTTTAAGTTCCATAAATGGAACTCTAATAGTCATAGATTTTCAATTTCCTTTAGAGGGTCGTGGCTATTTTCAAAATATAATTAAACATATCACCCCTCTATATATTCCAATGCCTTGTATTTGCTTTCTTTTGATAAATAATAAATAGTTTGGCCCTCTTAGTAGTGTTCTAGTTACCGGTATACCCCAATCATAGAGACCAATTAAAGGGACTGGCAGTGCAGCCGCTCCCGAAGCATTTTCCGGACATGTGACAGGTCTAGTTCCCACATTACACATCACTCCCCCCTGCCCATCCCGTATTTCCCACTCTCCCACATATAAGCCCTCATATATCCTTCATATCCTGGCTGAAATGCTGGGCTATTTCGAGTCCTGAAAGGGGCGGAAATGAAGCCGCCGCTCATAAGCAAACATGACAGCTCCATGCTCCCATTAGCGTTCGAGCTGTTTTGCCACTCTTTTTTTATTTTTTTTACTTCTATTATTTTTCCCTTATTTTTCTCCTCAATTTCCCCCTTAAGTTGTAGTTTCTGGCTTTTCCTCAAACAACAACAATAACAAGATTGGTTTTTCGATGACGATGCGTGACAAATAGCAACAGTAACCGAAATGATTGGAAAAGTGCATCGAGTACCCAGTACGGTTATGGTAGTTGTTGTTGTTGGAGGTGACAGACCCTAGAAAACTCCAGAGCCTATGCGAGTGAGAGTTTGCTATTGCTTAAATAGGGCTAAACCATCGACCGCAAAAACAAATTAAGTAAATTCAGTAAACAAGCAAACGAGCTGCAACTACAAATCTGGCTTTTGTGGTTAAAGAATCGGTGAGCTGCACCGGAATAAAATAAAACAAATATTTAAATGTAAAAATAAGTGAGTTTAATTTAAACAAATTGAATTAGAGACCGTGACATGTTCACATTTTGTCACTCATTGAAAAAATCTTGCTTAAGCTATGCTTTTTATTTTTTTTTAATCTACAATCAAAGTATAAAAATTACTTTATGTTGAATTAGTTTAATTAAAGTGGGTATCTCCCTCTTCTCTATTTTTCTTGGTATCGAGATTTGGGAGAATATTTAACAAAAAAGTCGTTAAGTAAAGAAAAAAGCGAGGCAAAGCATGCTTTTCATCATTTTTGCATGATTTTCATCACTTTCCAGCTTGAAAAGAACCTTTTACATTCTATAAACTAATAAGTTATAATTACAGCTCGAAATTCTTCCTATTATCTTTTAAATCTCCACAAATAAGTTCTTATTCAATAAAAAAAAGCAAGGAAAAGCATGATTTTTTTGTAAGAGCTTAAATTCTAACTTTTTTAAATGTATTTCCAGTAAAAGTTAACAATTATCCTTAGTTTGTTTAAAAAAACTTAGAGAATATTTAGCCATAAAGTCCCCATTTAAATGAAAAAGCAAGCAAAAATCATGCTTTTTTATTTAAAGTGTATTGTAACTTTTGTTTATTGACTTTCTGGCTTGAAGTTATTTTTTTTTAAAAGCTTATACTAATAAATTATTATTAAAAAACAAACATATATTAGTTTGTTGGAAACAATTTTTTCTTTGTGCATCAGAAAAAAGAAGAAAATGAGAATTGAAATAAACAATGAGCAGCAAACGGCAAAAAAGCAGAATGCTAGAAAAAAAGCGACTAAAAAAAAGCAACAATAAAATAGGCGACAAACAGCAACAACGGCAATCATAAAGGCAACGCAATCAAATGATAATAAAAAGCAGCGACGGTGACGATTACGTCGACCGAGGCAGCGATGCCGGCAGCACCGTCACCGTCGCCGTCACTGTCACAGTCTTCTGGCTTCGCTTCGACGTTGAATATTTTGCATATGTACTACCTATATTATACCACTACCTAGTATACTACCCACTGTATATGCGTGCGGTGGAGTGGCTTCCAAAGGTGAAATGCGAAGAAAGAGCGTAGAAATGGGCGAAGAAAGACGACTACCTGGTGGGGTAGGTGAGCGACAGAAGAAGCTATAGCAATTCCCGATTCCACATTCAAATGCAAAACGAATTCAAGAAAATCGAACAACAGCTAGCAGATAGTAGTAGAAAACAAAAAAAAAAAAAACAAGAAACCTGGTGTCATCGTGTAAATACAAATAAGCAACTGCGGCGGAAATACTAGGAGCAGGCATAAGAATAGTTTATTTCGTTTGAAAAAGATCATAAAACTTAATGACGCTACCTGACACCAAAAGACACCAAATGCCAAACGCACTTTTCCTGTCTGCCGAGTGCAAAAATTAAACATCATAATTTTATTTAAACATCTATCTTATCGTCTTAACTCTTGACTAAACAAACGGTCTGTAGTTTGACACTGAACTTGCTAATGCATATTAAAAAAAAATAAAAAAAAGAGGCCAAGTTATTTGAACTTTAGTCTACAATTTAGTCTTTCATTCAAAAAAATTAAATATACGACAGGTGGAGTTCTGCTCTCGATTATTTCGTTTGTAAAAATATAATATGCTAATCAAGTTCTAATGTTTATCTTATCGGGAATGGGCATCAAAGTAAACAGCCCGGCATAGAGTTCGTTGCTATTTTATTTATCTAACTGGAAGTGGCGATTATTTTGACTAATGTTTTGTTATTATATCCAATGGCATGATATTCAGGTTGACAAAACCACATTAAGCTCCGTTGGATAAACAAACCAAATGAACTTTAAACAGGAGTGCTATTGGCGTGACCCCAAGTGTAGTAGACAAAATATTGATTGAAAATCAATAGGCTCGTCCGCTTGTCATTCATTCCCAACTATGATTGTCGGTGGGGAGGTGGGAGCTTGGAATTCAAAAGTGATGCGATCCAAGTGCCAGCCGGCAAACTCACTTCAATCGCCCAGAATACCACTCCGGGGTATATCGATGGTATATAAGCACTACATACACAGTCATTAGCATGCAAACACGTACATATGTGTGTCAGTAGTCTTGATGTTCGTGCGTGCGGCGTTGACAAGCTCGGCTTGATAATTTAAACACGTATCCCGGAGACTAGAGCTTCTGCTTTTTTTTTTTTAGCTTCTACTTTGGACCCCAACATCGCCCTCTGCTCCAGCACCCCCTAGAACCCGCCTACCCCATACCCTCACATGCCATAACGTATAGAGCAAAACAGACGTAAAAGGCAAAAAAAACACAAAAATGTCAACACACTTTTATTGTTGTTGATGTAATACCCTGGATAGGTAGGGTGGGAGGGAGTATATCAAGTACCTACATACGTCTCATGATCTACGGTTTAATAACTAACCACATGGTATTGGGGGAGGTACAATAAAACCCTATAATTTGTGGAAACTTTATAACTTTCTTTTTTAAAAATAGGGCTAGGTAGACCTGTAGAGATTTATTTTCCAAAAATAACACCTAATAATTAAATGACATGTGTTTTTAAAAGCCAATATTGCAAAAATTAAAAGCCCATAAGAGGAATTTCTGTTTACTTTCACTTCTGAACGAAATAAGTCCCCTTAAATAGGTAATTTTCTTAGAGAATGTTAAAAATTTTAGGAAAAAAACTTAAAAATGTATTCCATAAGAAAAAGACATGAGTTCTTAACTTCTAAAAATCCTAAAACTGTAAAATTTAAGAAAATCCCTACACATACATTTCAAACCAAATCCTTTTCAAAAAAATCCTTGCCTACTTTTTGGCTTCCTACTCTGAGCTGCTCCTAGAGGGTAACCTACGATCGAATCAATTTTAATTAATATTATTATTCTTTTTTGCTGTCTGTGTGGCGCTTTTTGGGGCTGCCGTTATCGTTGTCGTTGTAATCGACTTTGTTGTTATTGCTTTTGCCGCAAAACAAAAAAAATGCCAAAGAAGAGAATAAAGTAGAGCACCCAAGTCGGCGCCGTCGACGTTGGCAGAGACAGCGACAGTGGCAGCGACGTTGGCGGTATAAGCCGCACTCAGCGAATATGGGTGGGTACTATGAGGGGCGGGGGGGGCCTCACATTGTTAAGGGGGTGGTGCTGGGGCGAGAGGGGCAGCATATGCACTGAAGCAGCAAATAAACCACGTATTCATATACACACACACACACGTACTCGACATACTTACACAGATATTTTACATACAAACACATACATACATACGTACCTCAAAAGTTTTTCGACATTTTGTTGCTATTTGAGCTGCTGTTGTTGTTGTAGTCGGTAGGTGGTAGTTGTAATTGTAGTTGTTTCTGTTGCACCTTCTGTCGCTGCTGCAGTCGCGGTCGACGTTGACTTCGCCGTCGCAGCTACTGCTCACTTAAACGTTCTTTTCGCTGTCTCTGCCGTTGTTATTGTTTGTTTTTGTTGTTATTTTTTTTTTTATTCGCCTTGTTTCGCTTGATTATTTTGTTTTTTGTTTTTTTTTTTTTATTTTTTTGTGATTTTTTGTTCTCCCCCCAGCATGTAACTTGTAATATAATTTAATAGTAAGTGATGTGCTTGCTTCTTGTTATACCATTATTGTTTTTGATGTTGTTGTAATTTACTTAATATTTGGCTACACACACACACACACAGAATCGTTGAAGGAGCATGGGGGGTGGCACAATTTTCCTTTTCACCTTCAAGGTAACACGCGTCGTATACGCGATATCTGCTGATAAAAAGCGACTTGTACTTGCACTTCTTCTTCTCTCGTTCAACACACACAATTTTTAAGTCTTTATTATTATTATTTCTTATGACTTTTATGTATAACTACCATATATATTTTGTTTTTTTTTCACGAATTAGATACGGGATATATAACCGAGGAACGTCAGCAAAAGCCGGCACGATATTAAAATCGCTCTATTTTCGAACTATCTTTACCAGCACACTTGTACAGGTGGCAGAAGCGAACAAAAAATTCAGAAAAAAATACAGAAAAAGGCCGCGCGTAAACTGCAGAGAACAGAAATTGTACAAGCGAATAGGTAGTGGTAGTAAATGTATGTACAAAAGTTAATAACAACGCAACAACTGAACAAAAAAATATTTAAACACAAAACACACGACGTCGCCGCGCCAGAACGTAATCGAAAATCGAAAACACGGTAATGCGATGCGACAGCCTAGAGCAGCACGTCCGTCCTCTTCGACGAGAAAAATGCGATTCCGACTTGGGAGCAACGGTAAAGCACACACGGCGGATGAGTGCTAATTGCGCTCAGCACGCGCCAGAGAGGCACACAGATAGATAGAGAGAGAAAGAAAGCTAAGGGAGAGTAACACAAATTCTTATATGTATTAATAAAAATAAACACCATTTATTTCAATATTTTACTCTTAAGATAATCAGATACAGTTTAAATCTTTAAGATACATTAAATCTTTAAGTATCTTTAAGATAAATAAGTTTCTTAGAAACCTATAAAGCTTCCATTATTTTTTGCCTGTGTAGTGCTCTCATTTTTGTTCTCTGGTGAAAAGCTTGAGTGTGTGTGTGAGTGAGTACGCAAGGGAGAGGGCGGAAGAGTGTCACACAGGTGGTTGGGCTGGTGGGGGGTTGCCCTGGCCTTTTTTATTGTTGGTGTTGTGTTGGTAAACAGTATTGGTCGCGTAAATGTTAAGAACCAAAACAATCAAAAGGGTGCTAATTGAAGACCATGCACCATATGTACCGTTAAGCAAAACTAGCCGATAGCGAGAAATTCTTTTAGGCGGTGATTTTTAAATGTGGTAATAAACAAATATTCAATTTATACACTTCATAAAGATTAAAAGTAAGCCTAAATCTTAAAAAAAGTTTAAAATAATAGCAAACTTAACAGAGATTTTGAAAACTCTTAACATAACAGGGTGTTCTCTTTTAAGCCGAATGTTAACTAGCGGTATTTTTCTACTGTAGCCAATTATTTATTAAAATATTGTAATATAAACACAAGAAATAGAGTTATATGGTTTATTTTGATGTTAGGATCCAATTAAGATGTCAACCTATAGTCTCATGTTAAGGTGGTCTCAGCAGAAGCAATAAAAAAGACCCCTCCACCGAATTCTTGATTAAAATCCAAACAATCAACAGGTTGTTGCTACCATGTGTACCATTGAAAAAAAATACTTGATACCGAGAATGTCTTTTGAATTCTTAAATTAAAAAATATAAAATTTATAATCTCTATAAAGTTTTAAAATTATTTCAGTACTTCATGTTTCAAGTTTAAAGAATTGAATTTAAATTTCTAACATTGTTAACATAACAGGGTGATCCTTTCAACTTTTAACACAATGTTAACTAGCGGTATTTTTGCCGCATCTCGGTGATGGTCACATTAATTTAGGGAAACTGTTGACAATCGCCGCAACTGAGTTATAATTTTCACTGAAATAAAACCCTTGGAAGTGGTTTAATTGTTATTCAAGATGACTGAGGATTGGCAAACTCAGAAGTTCCGGCAGAACGTGATCTCCAAGATGTAAGTAGAACTTAGAAAGCGAAGCCGGCTTGCCTCAACTAATTTTCTCCCATGTTGCAGCCACGAATTGTTGCCCCCAAATGCACAGGTAAATTACTATTTTTCCCTCAGTTGTACAGTTAAACTAATTCTATTTTTAATATCAGGATCAAACTAAAAATGCCAGCATGATGGAGAACCACATCTTCCGGAAATCGCGGACCAAGGACGAGTATCTGGGACTGGTGGCCAAGTTGTTTATGCACTACAAGGACATGTCAAGGAAGTCTCAGCAGCAGCAACAACAACAACAGCAACAGCAGCAACAACAAGGAGGCCCACCGCCCAATGCTGAAATGGGCGGTGGGCAGAACATGATGCAAGACCCATTAAATGCTTTGCAAAACTTGGCTAGCCAGGGTAATCGAAATCCCCAAATGATGCCCATGGGTGCTGGTGGGGCTCCTGTACCAGGTGGTCCTGGCACTGCTTCTAATCTGCTGCAATCCCTGAACCAACAACGTCCCGGGCAGCAGCAAATGCAACCTATGCCCAATATCCGCGGCCAAATGCCCGGAGGCGGGGCCCAACAGATGATGCAGGTCCAGCAGCAGATGCAAGGTGGCAACAATCCTGGTGTGATGAATGTAATGGGTGCTGGCGGGGCCCAGAATCAGGGCCAAATCGTGGGAAATACTGGACAACAGATGGGCGGCATGCCAAACCAAATGGTAGGTCCTGGTCCAAACAGTGGTCCCGCCGTTGGAGGAGCTGGTGGTGCAAATACTGCTCCAGGAGCTGCTGGACCGGTGCCAAATCAAATGCAAAACAATCCTATTAACGTGAACACTATGCAACCGATGCCGCCCATGCAACAGATCCAGCAGAACCAGATGACAGTAAGAATATATAGCAAAACTTGAATATTGAATCTTTACATAGTTTTGTTCTTCCTCCTTCAGATGGGCATGAATCCGATGATGCGCATGGGCCAGGGCAATGGGATGGGTGGACCGCAGGGAATGCCCGGTCAGGGAATGCAGGGCATGCCCCCCAACATGCAGCAGGCCCAGCACAATGTTGTTGGCGGCCCGGCGGGACAGCAGCAAGTGGGCGGTGCAGGTCTGCCGCCAAATGCCGTACAACAAGGTGGCATTAACCCCATGGGTGGCATGGGTGTGAATATGCCACCGAATCTACAGCAAAAGCCCAATATGGGAATGGGTCAGGGTGGTCAAATGTTCCCCGGAAATCGAGGCAGTGTCGGAGTTGGGGGTCAGCAGCCGGGCCAGCCGTTCATGAGGTCCAGCCCCTCGCCAGCGGACGCCCAACAGCTGCAGCAACAGCAGCAGCAGGCTCAGCTTCAGCAAATGCAGCAGCAACAACAACAACTGGGTGTCGGCAACCAAACGCCCACCCAACAGCCGCCCACACCGCAGATGCCAACTCCCCAGATGATACCCAGTCCGGCTCTGGTCCCACAGTCCAGTCCCCAGATGATGCAAATGCAAAATCCCCAACGCAACATTCGCCAGCAGTCGCCGAGTGCCTCGATCAACACACCCGGCCAAGTAACCGGGAATAGTCCGTTTAATCCCCAGGAGGAGGCCATGTACCGCGAAAAGTATAAACAACTTACCAAGTACATTGAACCGCTGAAGCGGATGCTGGCCAAGATCAGCAATGATGGAACAAGTGAGTACATTTTCACCTAAATAATTCCTTTATTTGTTTTTAGTTTATTTTTTAATACTGATACCATATTTTAAACAATTACAGATGTGGAAAAAATGACCAAAATGAGCAAGCTATTGGAGATCCTCTGCAATCCCACGCAGCGTGTGCCTCTGGAAACTCTGCTCAAATGCGAAAAGGCTCTGGAGAGAATGGATTTGATTTCGTATTCGGGTCAACAGTTTGGGGTATATACGATCTTCAACTCCTTTATAAATAGTATTTTCATCGAACATTTTATTTTCCGTCTAGAAATCCTCGAATCCACTGCTGGAGGTGATAAATACCACACTCCAAAGTCCTGTGGCGAATCATACACTGCATCGCACCTTCCGACCCACGTTGGAATTGCTCTTCGGCACGGATATAGCAGCTCCAGTGCCTGCGAAGCGATCCCGTGTCGAGGAGAAATCCTCGCCATTCGAGCAGGATGTGCCCCATGTGCTTCAGGGAGAGATAGCCCGTTTGGATACCAAGTTCAAGATTAAGCTGGATACCACCTCGCAGGTGAACAATAAGGCGATTCGTTTGATTTGCTGTTTGGACGACAAGCGGCTGCCAAGTGTGCCGCCCGTCAGTGTCAGTGTGCCGGAAGAGTATCCCTGGCAGGCGCCGGACTGTTCCCTAACGGAACAAGAGTACTCGGCTACTCCTTTCCTACAGACTGTACAACAAGCTCTTACCGCACGCATGTCCAAGCTGCCGAAGAACTATTCATTATCGCATCTGCTGGACACCTGGGAAATGGCTGTACGCCAGGCGTGCTCTCCGCACTCGAAGCCAAGGGATGTCTGTGAAATGACGACCTTGCTGGGCATGTAATTGCATATTTCGACATTCTTATTCACCCATACTCCAATCGTACATCTTTTAATAGGACACCCTCCAAACGAGAGGGTGCCCTGTAGAGTTAAGATAAATATCTCATATGTACTCTTATTTAAAATAAATGCAAAAAAAATTAAATCAGGGAGATATTTAGAGTTCTTTGAACCCATGAAACCTATGAATAATAGAAAATAGTGATGAAAACTTAAACATCACAGATTTTGAATGAAGAAGGAGACTCAAGACTGGGTCATAATGGTTTTTTATGCATTTTTCCCCATTTTTGAAGGCAACCCTCCATAAATTTTGACGAAAATATGAAAAAAATATTTTGTTGCTAGATTTTGATGCAGATTGGTGAAGAATCGATCTACAAATCGTTTAAGGTATTCCGCTCAAGGATCTGATGAAAATCAGCAGAGATATAGACTTCACAGTGGACCATATTGGCCTCCCACGCATTTTTTCTAAATTTTGAAGGGGACCCTCCATAAATTTTGACGAAAATATGAAAAAATATTTTGTTGCCAGATTAAGATGCAGATTGGTGGAGAATCGATCTAAAAATCGTTTAAGGTATTCCGCTCAAGAATGGGATGAAAATCGGCAGAGATATAGACTTCACAGTGGACCATATTGGCTTCCCATGCATTTTCCTAAATTTTGAAGGGGACCCTCCATAAATTTTGACGAAAATATGAAAAAATATTTTGAGCCTAGATTTTGATGCAGATTGGTGGAGAATCGATCTACAAATCGTTTAAGGTATTCCGCTCAAGGATGGGATGAAAATCGGCAGAGATATAGACTTCACAGTGGACCATATTGGCCTCCCATGCATTTTTCCTAAATTTTGAAGGGGACCCTCCATAAATTTAAACGAAAATATGAAAAAAATATTTTGTTGCTAGATTTTGATGCAGATTGGTGAAGAATCGATCTACAAATCGTTTAAGGTATTCCGCTCAAGGATGGGATGAAAATCGGCAGAGATATAGACTTCTCAGTGGACCATATTGGCCTCCCATGCATTTTTCCTAAATTTTGAAGGGGACCCTCCATAAATTTTGACGAAAATATGAAAAAATATTTTGTTGCTAGATTTTGATGCAGATTGATGGAGAATCGATCTACAAATCGTTTAAGGTATTCCGCTCAAGGATGGGATGAAAATCGGCAGAGATATAGACTTCACAGTGGACCATATTGGCCTCCCATGCATTTTTCCTAAATTTTGAAGGGGACCCTCCATAAATTTTGACGAAAATATGAAAAAATATTTTGTTGCTAGATTTTGATGCAGATTGATGGAGAATCGATCTACAAATCGTTTAAGGTATTCCGCTCAAGAATGGGATAAAAATCGGCAGAGATATAGACTTCACAGTGGACCATATTGGCCTCCCACGCATTTTTTCTAAATTTTGAAGGGGACCCTCCATAAATTTTGACGAAAATATGAAAAAATATTTTGTTGCCAGATTAAGATGCAGATTGGTGGAGAATCGATCTAAAAATCGTTTAAGGTATTCCGCTCAAGAATGGGATGAAAATCGGCAGAGATATAGACTTCACAGTGGACCATATTGGCTTCCCATGCATTTTCCTAAATTTTGAAGGGGACCCTCCATAAATTTTGACGAAAATATGAAAAAATATTTTGAGCCTAGATTTTGATGCAGATTGGTGGAGAATCGATCTACAAATCGTTTAAGGTATTCCGCTCAAGGATGGGATGAAAATCGGCAGAGATATAGACTTCACAGTGGACCATATTGGCCTCCCATGCATTTTTCCTAAATTTTGAAGGGGACCCTCCATAAATTTAAACGAAAATATGAAAAAAATATTTTGTTGCTAGATTTTGATGCAGATTGGTGAAGAATCGATCTACAAATCGTTTAAGGTATTCCGCTCAAGGATGGGATGAAAATCGGCAGAGATATAGACTTCTCAGTGGACCATATTGGCCTCCCATGCATTTTTCCTAAATTTTGAAGGGGACCCTCCATAAATTTTGACGAAAATATGAAAAAATATTTTGTTGCTAGATTTTGATGCAGATTGATGGAGAATCGATCTACAAATCGTTTAAGGTATTCCGCTCAAGGATGGGATGAAAATCGGCAGAGATATAGACTTCACAGTGGACCATATTGGCCTCCCATGCATTTTTCCTAAATTTTGAAGGGGACCCTCCATAAATTTTGACGAAAATATGAAAAAATATTTTGTTGCTAGATTTTGATGCAGATTGATGGAGAATCGATCTACAAATCGTTTAAGGTATTCCGCTCAAGAATGGGATAAAAATCGGCAGAGATATAGACTTCACAGTGGACCATATTGGCCTCCCATGCATTTTCCTAAATTTTGAAGGGGACCCTCCATAAATTTAAACGAAAATATGAAAAAAATATTTTGTTGCTAGATTTTGATGCAGATTGGTGAAGAATCGATCTACAAATCGTTTAAGGTATTCCGCTCAAGGATGGGATGAAAATCGCCAGAGATATAGACTTCACAGTGGACCATATTGGCCTCCCATGCATTTTTCCTAAATTTTGAAGGGGACCCTCCATAAATTTTGACGAAAATATGAAAAAATATTTTGTTGCTAGATTTTGATGCAGATTGATGGAGAATCGATCTACAAATCGTTTAAGGTATTCCGCTCAAGGATCGGATGATAATCGGCAGAGATATAGACTTCACAGTGGACCATATTGGCCTCCCATGCATTTTTCATAAATTTTGAAGGGGACCCTCCATAAATTTTGACTAAAATATGAAAAAATATTTCGTTGCCAGAATTTGATGCAGAATGAAGGAGAATCGATCTACAAATCGTTTAAGGTATTCCGCTCAAGGATCGGATAAAAATCGGCAGAGATATAGACTTCACAGTGGACCATATTGGCCTCCCATGCATTTTCCTAAATTTTGAAGGGGACCCTCCATAAATTTAAACGAAAATATGAAAAAATATTTTGTTGCTAGATTTTGATGCAGATTGGTGGTGAATCGATCTACAAATCTTTTGAGGTATTCCGCTCAAGGATCGGATGAAAATCAGCAGAGATATAGACTTCACAGTGGACCATATTGGCCTCTCATGCATTTTCCTAAATTTTGAAGGGGACCCTCCATTAATTTTGACGAAAATATGAAAAAATATTTTGAGCCTAGATTTTGATGCAGATTGGTGGAGAATCGATCTACAAATCGTTTAAGGTATTCCGCTCAAGGATCGGATGATAATCGGCAGAGATATAGACTTCACAGTGGACCATATTGGCCTCCCATGCATTTTTCCTAAATTTTGAAGGGGACCCTCCATAAATTTTGACGAAAATATGAAAATATATTTTGTTGCTAGAATTTGATGCAGAATGAAGGAGAATCGATCTACAAATCGTTTAAGGTATTCCGCTCAAGGATCGGATGAAAATCGGCAGAGATATAGACTTCACAGTGAACCATATTGGCCTCCCATGCATTTTCCTAAATTTTGAAGGGGACCCTCCATAAATTTTGACGAAAATATGAAAAAATATTTTGTTGCCAGATTAAGATGCAGATTGGTGGAGAATCGATCTACAAATCGTTTAAGGTATTCCGCTCAAGGATGGGATGAAAATCGGCAGAGATATAGACTTCACAGTGGACCATATTGGCCTCCCATGCATTTTTCCTAAATTTTGAAGGGGACCCTCCATAAATTTTGACGAAAATATGAAAAAATATTTTGTTGCCAGATTAAGATGCAGATTGGTGGAGAATCGATCTAAAAATCGTTTAAGGTATTCCGCTCAAGAATGGGATGAAAATCGGCAGAGATATAGACTTCACAGTGGACCATATTGGCTTCCCATGCATTTTCCTAAATTTTGAAGGGGACCCTCCATAAATTTTGACGAAAATATGAAAAAATATTTTGAGCCTAGATTTTGATGCAGATTGGTGGAGAATCGATCTACAAATCGTTTAAGGTATTCCGCTCAAGGATAGGATGAAAATCGGCAGAGATATAGACTTCACAGTGGACCATATTGGCCTCCCATGCATTTTCCTAAATTTTGAAGGGGACCCTCCATAAATTTAAACGAAAATATGAAAAAAATATTTTGTTGCTAGATTTTGATGCAGATTGGTGAAGAATCGATCTACAAATCGTTTAAGGTATTCCGCTCAAGGATGGGATGAAAATCGGCAGAGATATAGACTTCACAGTGGACCATATTGGCCTCCCATGCATTTTTCCTAAATTTTGAAGGGGACCCTCCATAAATTTTGACGAAAATATGAAAAAATATTTTGTTGCTAGATTTTGATGCAGATTGATGGAGAATCGATCTACAAATCGTTTAAGGTATTCCGCTCAAGAATGGGATAAAAATCGGCAGAGATATAGACTTCACAGTGGACCATATTGGCCTCCCATGCATTTTCCTAAATTTTGAAGGGGACCCTCCATAAATTTAAACGAAAATATGAAAAAATATTTTGTTGCTAGATTTTGATGCAGATTGGTGAAGAATCGATCTACAAATCGTTTAAGGTATTCCGCTCAAGGATGGGATGAAAATCGCCAGAGATATAGACTTCACAGTGGACCATATTGGCCTCCCATGCATTTTTCCTAAATTTTGAAGGAAAAATTTTCCATAAATTTTGACGAAAATATGAAAAAATATTTTGTTGCTAGATTTTACTGCAGATTGATGGAGAATCGATCTACAAATCGTTTAAGGTATTCCGCTCAAGGATCGGATGATAATCGGCAGAGATATAGACTTCACAGTGGACCATATTGGCCTCCCATGCATTTTTCCTAAATTTTGAAGGGGACCCTCCATAAATTTTGACTAAAATATGAAAAAATATTTCGTTGCCAGAATTTGATGCAGAATGAAGGAGAATCGATCTACAAATCGTTTAAGGTATTCCGCTCAAGGATCGGATAAAAATCGGCAGAGATATAGACTTCACAGTGGACCATATTGGCCTCCCATGCATTTTCCTAAATTTTGAAGGGGACCCTCCATAAATTTAAACGAAAATATGAAAAAATATTTTGTTGCTAGATTTTGATGCAGATTGGTGGTGAATCGATCTACAAATCTTTTGAGGTATTCCGCTCAAGGATCGGATGAAAATCAGCAGAGATATAGACTTCACAGTGGACCATATTGGCCTCTCATGCATTTTCCTAAATTTTGAAGGGGACCCTCCATTAATTTTGACGAAAATATGAAAAAATATTTTGAGCCTAGATGATAATCGGCAGAGATATAGACTTCACAGTGGACCATATTGGCCTCCCATGCATTTTTCCTAAATTTTGAAGGGGACCCTCCATAAATTTTGACGAAAATATGAAAATATATTTTGTTGCTAGAATTTGATGCAGAATGAAGGAGAATCGATCTACAAATCGTTTAAGGTATTCCGCTCAAGGATCGGATGAAAATCGGCAGAGATATAGACTTCATAGTGAACCATATTGGCCTCCCATGCATTTTCCTAAATTTTGAAGGGGACCCTCCATAAATTTTGACGAAAATATGAAAAAATATTTTGTTGCCAGATTAAGATGCAGATTGGTGGAGAATCGATCTAAAAATCGTTTAAGGTATTCCGCTCAAGGATGGGATGAAAATCAGCAGAGATATAGACTTCACAGTGGACCATATTGGCCTCCCATGCATTTTTCCTAAATTTTGAAGGGGACCCTCCATAAATTTTGACGAAAATATGAAAAAATATTTCGTTGCCAGATTTTGATGCAGATTGGTGAAGAATCGATCTACAAATCGTTTAAGGTATTCCGCTCAAGGATGGGATGAAAATCGCCAGAGATATAGACTTCACAGTGGACCATATTGGCCTCCCATGCATTTTTCCTAAATTTTGAAGGAAAAATTTTCCATAAATTTTGACGAAAATATGAAAAAATATTTTGTTGCTAGATTTTACTGCAGATTGATGGAGAATCGATCTACAAATCGTTTAAGGTATTCCGCTCAAGGATCGGATGATAATCGGCAGAGATATAGACTTCACAGTGGACCATATTGGCCTCCCATGCATTTTTCCTAAATTTTGAAGGGGACCCTCCATAAATTTTGACTAAAATATGAAAAAATATTTCGTTGCCAGAATTTGATGCAGAATGAAGGAGAATCGATCTACAAATCGTTTAAGGTATTCCGCTCAAGGATCGGATAAAAATCGGCAGAGATATAGACTTCACAGTGGACCATATTGGCCTCCCATGCATTTTCCTAAATTTTGAAGGGGACCCTCCATAAATTTAAACGAAAATATGAAAAAATATTTTGTTGCTAGATTTTGATGCAGATTGGTGGTGAATCGATCTACAAATCTTTTGAGGTATTCCGCTCAAGGATCGGATGAAAATCAGCAGAGATATAGACTTCACAGTGGACCATATTGGCCTCTCATGCATTTTCCTAAATTTTGAAGGGGACCCTCCATAAATTTTGACGAAAATATGAAAAAATATTTTGAGCCTAGATGATAATCGGCAGAGATATAGACTTCACAGTGGACCATATTGGCCTCCCATGCATTTTTCCTAAATTTTGAAGGGGACCCTCCATAAATTTTGACGAAAATATGAAAATATATTTTGTTGCTAGAATTTGATGCAGAATGAAGGAGAATCGATCTACAAATCGTTTAAGGTATTCCGCTCAAGGATCGGATGAAAATCGGCAGAGATATAGACTTCACAGTGAACCATATTGGCCTCCCATGCATTTTCCTAAATTTTGAAGGGGACCCTCCATAAATTTTGACGAAAATATGAAAAAATATTTTGTTGCCAGATTAAGATGCAGATTGGTGGAGAATCGATCTAAAAATCGTTTAAGGTATTCCGCTCAAGGATGGGATGAAAATCAGCAGAGATATAGACTTCACAGTGGACCATATTGGCCTCCCATGCATTTTTCCTAAATTTTGAAGGGGACCCTCCATAAATTTTGACGAAAATATGAAAAAATATTTCGTTGCCAGATTTTGATGCAGATTGGTGGAGAATCGATCTACAAATCGTTTAAGGTATTCCGCTCTTAGACTTAACAGTGGGTCATATTGTCAGTAGGCCTTTAAGGATTGAAAGTACTGATAATTGATGAAGCCAAGTGATGGAAATAATCACTATATTTAATGTTCTATAACGAATTTATTCAGCTACGGGTATTTAATTTAATTTATTAAGAACCGTTTAAAACTAAGTTTTTAACTATCCTTTCGTCATTGCAATCTATACTTTCGTACAATGAAGTTGGCTTTTATCTCGTTATTATTCTTTGTTGGGGTTTCTTTAAGTTGTAAGTATTGTGATAAAGTTAGTAAGTCAAAAAATGAATTTTATATGCAATTTATTTCAATAGCAACCTGCAAACTTAAACCAATATATATGGGATTGTGTGCAATGATGGATTGGGGTTTTACCTATAATCGTGCTAGTAACACTTGTGTTCCCACTGCGGGAATGTGTCGTGGCACTGGAAATTTCTTTAGATCTAAAAAGGATTGTGAGGAACAATGTATTGATTAAACTAAGTTTGCATCAATGATGGTATTTCAACATGTACTTCATGCTAAAATTGATCTGTAAAGCGTTTCAAGCCGAAACACAATAAAGAATATAATTTAAATGAATTTTTAGAAACGTTTTAAATATTTTTAAACAATTTTTAAAACCTGTAAAAGTAAGAAAAGAATTTCCCCATCCCCCATTTCAAAACATTCAGGTAGAGATTATTTTGGAAAATATGTATATTTTCTTTTGTTGAGATTTGAATCTGCAGGGATCCAATATTTTTTCAATTCTTGATTTTTTTCTCTTTTCTTCACTTGTAGCAATAAATACAATTGTTTTGTGTGTTTAATATTTAGAGAATTACGAGCAATAACTATGGTACAATAGAAAATAGTTAAGAAAACTTAAATATCACAGATTTTGAACGCCGAACGCGTCGCTAGTATTATCTATTTACAAGCACTAGGTATAGTCAGAGTCTGAATCTAAATCTGAAGAAGATCGCTAAGCTAGGATGTGCTCGGTGCCCTTGGAAAGAAAATATAGTTGGCCCCAGCCCCCCAGTCTAGGGTGCGAGTGGGTGGGTGCGAGGCCTATTGAATTTAAAGTTGATATATGCACGAAAAAACGATGACAAGATCTAGCTCTTAACTAAGCTACTTAATGTCTACACCAGCTACACAGCGCGAAAAACTCGAGACTAAAATCAGCAATAAAATTCTTGTTGGACGATGGAGAATGAAGTCCCACATCCTACTACTCATCACCTACTTAATGATAGGATTTCTTAATCTTAACTCTGGTTCTGATTTTGGTGCTGGGTTTTCTCTCCGCTTAGCTGGCGATACTGTCGGGCTGAGATTGGTTCTGGGGGGCAGCTGCTCCTCCTTTAGATGTTCTCTCCTGGACATCTTCTCATCGCTGCACCTGCAGCAGAGTGCCGCCGAAGCCAAAACTACTGGCTTGCTGCTGTAGTCTAAGCAGATCCTGGGCGCTGTACACCTGCTGCAGGCTGGCGGCGGCAGAGGACATGGGCGAGGAGGTGACACTGATGCTGGTGGATGCTGGGGCTATCGCCCGCAAGTGGAGCGTAGCGTCGCAGAGGGAGGTGGCTATGGCGGAGGAACTGCTGGTCAGGGAAACGTGACGGTTCACCCCATTGGCCTTGTCCTTGTTGTGGCGCTTGACGTGCTTGGACAGGTGATCGCTACGCATGAACTTCTTCTGGCAGACGCCGCACTGGAACTTCTTCTCGCCGGTATGGGTTCGCTTGTGGCGGGATAGCTCGTCGGACCTGGAGAATCGCTTGTCGCAGTTCTCCCACTTGCAGATGAAGGGCCGCTCGCCGGTGTGCACTCTTTGGTGGGCTTTCAGGTGGCTGCTCTTGAAGTAGTTCTTGCCGCAGTCGGGGAAACTGCACTCGTAGATGCGACTCCTGGTGGCCGCCGCCTGGGCAGCGGTGATCCTGGGTGCCTGCTTCTCCTCGGCGCTTGCAACTGGTATGGGCGTGGGGGCTTGCTGGGCGGCCACTGTGCTGAGCAGGAGGAGTTGGCTGGCGGGACTGGCGACGGGAGCCACGTAGATGGGAGGCAGAATTGGCTTGACTTCCTCTTCCTCGGGCTCGGACTTTTCCGCCGGTGCTGGCGTGGGAGCCGGGATCTCCTCGGGTTTTTGTACTGGTACTGGTAACGCCACTTCCGCAGCCCGCTTCCTGTTCATCTTGAACTTGAGATTGCGCCAGACATTGGCCTCGGGGTAGTCATCCTCCACGGCGGGAGCGACTGTGGTTGTACTTGCGGTGGCATTTGTGGAGGAACTGCAGCAGGTGCTCTCGCTGGAGCTGGAACTAGTGCTGGAGGAGCTGTTTTCGTCTTGGTTGTTGCTGGAGCACACGGCTCCTGAGCTGTTCACTCGCATGATGACACTGACCCTCTCCGGGGTTTTGCTTTGATCCTCCTCAGCTTTCTGATCCGGTGGCGGTGTCATGGTCGTGGCCGGCTGTTCCAGGCGCATTTTCTTGCTGGGCACCTCCTCATCCTCCGTGTCCGAGGGATTGGGTGTAATGATGCCGCCATTCTTTTGGTTCTTCTGGGCCACCAACTTGAGTTTGGCCTTCAGCAGGTTCTGGTTCACCTGTTGCTCGTCCTTGGCCACCTGTTCAAAAAAAATAAAAATAATTCGTTGATTAGTGAAAGTTCATTGGCATCATCGTGGAGGTGGTGGAGGTCTTAAAGAGTGCATTCACATTAGCATTCCCCGATCCCATTCACTTTTTCCTGACCAGAACTCTGACCCAGAGTTACTTGTCGCTAATTACGCCGACGGCGGGCAAGGCCGTTCACCGTTAACCTTCACCCAGCGCCCATACACCCCCCAAGATGGGGTTCAATGCTCCTGCCAAAAAGGCCAAGGCAATATATTTTGGCGGTTTTTTGAACTTTTTGAAAGGCCGTTTCGGCGAGTCGAGATGAGTAAATAAATGTGGAATTTTCTACCAACTTTGATTTAATTTATTACGCATTTAGTGTCGTTTTAAACACCTTTTGATTATAAATTACTGTTTTTAAGGTAAATTTCCATGTAAATACTAAAGGTAATATTTTTTAATTATTTTTTAAACCCTTTAGTATGAATATTTTTTACATTTTCTTAATTTTCCATGTTTAAAACCTGAATAAAGTAAGTCCCCCTTTCATGAAACTCAACCATGCCGCCTAAAAGCAGGCAACGAAAACTGCAAACTCACTAGCATTATTATTATGACGTGCCTCAGGTGCTTGAAGTGGTTGGTGGGTTGGGGTGGAGGGGCAATTGGCTCGTGTGGCGACGTCGAAATCTTTTTATGGGCTCGGCACGTTGTTTGTTTCTTTCTCGGCCAGATAAAAAAAAAACGGGGAAAAAAAAGAAGCCAGCCAAAGTAATGTGACATATTTTTATGGGTTGGGGCTTGGCCTGTTTGCCTATCACTCCATCCTTTACCGCCCCCCTTTACCTGCCTGCCTCTGTCGTTGCCAAATGGCAACTCACCTTCGCTCTCAAACAATATTGGCGCTACTCCCTTGGTTTCTCTCTCTCAGTCCCCCCACCAACTAGCTGGGTATTTTGTTTTTGGTTTTTCTGCTGGTGCCAAGTCCAATGTTCAGGGTGCTCCCCTCTCGCTTCCACCTCGCAATCATTCGCTGTCCATGCGGTGTTCACGTGAACGCGTGCTGGCTGCGTGATCGCATTGCTGCCAATGGGGCAGAGCAGGATGGAGCACTTTTGTTTTTAGAAATGCGGCAAGTGGAAGCGAGAACGAGCGTATGTCCGATTTCATTTAAGATTTTCCACTGCCTTGAATGCACTTCCACTACTAATCACTATGCATATATCCCACTATATAATTGTATCCAACGGATGGATAGCCTTTGTAGGTCACTTACATTTTCCAACTTGTTATCCCGGAGCGGGGGCGTTGCTGGCGGCGATGGTAAAAGGGTATCCATATCCATTTTGTGGCTTTTTTTGCTTTTTCTCTGTTTTTGCTGCACTTTCAACTGCACTATCTTTTGCGTTTGTTTTTTTGCACTCTGGCTTATCACTCTTCTTGGCTTAATCCCAGTTTAGTGGTTCTGGTTCTTATTATTTTTATTTTATTTTTTTTTGCACTTGGTTAATGATTTCGCACTGCTGTTGCTGCGCTTTTTGCCGTTTTTTTGTAGAGCGGAGGCGAACCGTTGAGTTCAGAATTCAAGAGACGAATGAAAAAGGCAAAGGCATTCAGCTCCCAGCAGAGCTGCCGCTGTCGGCGTCGCTGTCGGTGGCAGTCGCTGGCAGTCGGTGTGTGTGTGTGTGGTGGAGCCGCCGTCGCCGACGTAATCACTTGTAAGTGGGTGTGCGTGCGTCTGTGTGAGTGTGTGAGGGACGATAGTCGTCATCGGTGGAGCAACCAGTGCAATGAAACCCGGACGAGGCGGCCGTACGAACGAACATCAGCCAGCAGAAACGTGGGCAGCAGAAGCGTAGCTGCCCCCCAGTTCTGTACTTAAAAAGGTCAGGTCTCCTCTTGGCGCACCTCTCTCGCTCTCTCTTTGTGACTGGCTCCTCTTTCTCTGTCATTTTCCCCAAAAGAAGATACAAGAGGAGGTGGCGGAGCACGTAACCGACGCATGGACGTCATCAGCTGTTTACCGCGGAGACTTGTTTTTTGGGGCCTAGCCGAAGCGGGAGAGAGAGAGAGAACATTAGAGGGAAGGGGGCGGAAGATTCCATGCCATTCCATTGGGGGCTGTCTATTCATAGCTGTCCATGCACAAGCCGCGTGCACAGCACCACACAACCACACACACACACTATGGCACGCAAAGTCTTACACCGACACACCCCAAAGCCGTGACTGAAAAGCTGACGCAGTTGTTGCCACGGAAGTCTCTGTGATTAATCGAAATGTAGGAGAACAACAAACAAGCCAAAAAAAAAAATGCTGGTCTAAACCTGGGCAGACGCCCCTCATAACAGATATATTCGTATATTAAAAAGCAGGCCCAGCCGCATATATTTGCATTAACTTTGAAATCTTAAGTCTGAAAGTCTGACTTTGAGTCTGGTTCAAAAAAAATTTCATTAATGGACGCAAGTTTTCGAATAAAAAAAAAAAAGACAGTGGCATTGGGGACAGGGGGAGCACTCAACAGTTGAGCGAAAGGCATTGCCAGTCCCGAGAATTCAAGAGATAAGGATGATGAGTCATGGGAAAAGGGGCCAGCCGTTTAATACTTGGGTTTGTTTACACAACGCTATGTAATATATAATTCGAGCTTGCAAGACTGTAATTCAGTTAATCGGCTCAGGTGCACGAGTTATTAGCACCTGGCAATGCTATCTGACAGCCGCCTGTAACAGTTTTCAAAGCAAAAAGGGGCTCGTGCAACCAGCACACCACAATAAAGAGAGGCAGAGAGCCCCCCAGAAACAGCTGTGACTATTGCCTCTCTCTTGCGCAACAACAACAAGCGAACGGGGAACGAGAGGGGAGCGGATAACTAGCACGCCATACCCCACACCAGACTTGAGGGGCGAGTGACTGTTCACGCCATAGAGGGTATCACAGGGGTATTTTTATTTTATCTAAAGGAGGTTAATTTTATATTTTTTAAAAAGAGTTATTTTAATGTTTTCTATAATTATTTTATAAAAAAATTCATTCATTTTTATAATATGTATTTTAGATAAATCATTCTACGTTTCGCCATTTTTTTTGCAAATTTAGCACCATATAAGTAGGCTATGAATTTTTCACGGTATCAAGTATTCGACCCGTTGACGAATAACCTTCTTACTGGCGAAACACGCTTGCCTGGGTGCCTCTGGGAGTGTGAGTGAGTGTCTGTGTGGGTCCGTCTGGTATCACGCGTTGACCTCATGATGTTCACGTGAACAGTTGTTGATACTTTGCCTTGCCGGCAGTGCGAGCGAGAGGGCAGTGCGAGCGAGACGGCAGTGACGAGGCGAGGCAGCAGTCTGTGGCGTGCCTATCGGTGTGACTGTGTGTGGTGCGAGTGTATGCGTGTGGGTGTTTGCAGTACTTGCGCTTTTTGTTTTTGTTTCCCGCTTCGTGTTTGTTATTGGAAACGGAATTCGTGTGTAAATTTTGCGCGGAACTGAAGCAGCACTGTGTTGTGGCCTCCACACACTCTCTCTCTCTCTCGGGCAAATGTGGGCGTGTAAATGGGCCGATGTACCGTTACCGCACCGCACCCCACCATCCATCACCACCCACTCTGCCCCCCTCTCTTATCCTTGTTTTGTGAATGCAAACTGCGACGCAGTTGAGTTTACCGAAGGCCCCCTACTTCCCACCCCCCTCAAAACGGGAATTTATGTGCATTGCTAACGTTTCAATTTAATCAGCAGCCGCGGGTTAAATCCAAAATTAGCCACACATCTCGGCTCCCCGGCGAGTTCAAGTTCACCGCCAGCTCAGCTTGGTTCCCTTGACTTGCATTCGGCCCCGGCGTAGGTAGCTCACGCCTACGATTACGCCCACTTGGCAGTGCCGCCCCCCCCGTGATACGCAAAATCCAGATTCCGGTCTCTGAGAATAATGCTCACGTGTACCCACGCACATTCTACGTTGCACGTAGGCCGCCGTCCGGCCACTCGGACAAAAAAATACTGATAAGGGAGAAAAAAAATAATGTAGAACTTGGGGTTTTAAGATTTCATCTGACCCACTCCAGGTGTTATATATTTTTAACCAGAAATTATTTTTAAAGATAGGTCCTATTTTTTTAAGTGTCCTAAAAACCGACTTAAAATAAAGAATCCGACAGTAAGAGGGCTCGTAACCTTTCCGCTGAGAGAGTTTGCGCAATGACGCATTTCTGGTTTTGGCATTTCTGACATTACGTAGCTCACTAGTTGGCTCTTTTGATGACGTCACAGCCATGCGGCTTCTGGGTCCTGTTGCGCCAAAAGGCCAAAACCAAAGCAAAGTCAAAGGTTATGACGTTGGCGTAAGCTTTGGCCGGGTTCAAGGCTTCCACCAACGCCCTTCACTGGCATTATTAGCCATTGGAGACCGGGTCGAAAAAAAAAATCGTTTGTATATTCAGTTTCCCAGGCAGACAGACATTGGAGGAGGCGTTGGTCGAAAAACGTCAATCACAGGTGGGAACCTGACGTCAGTGCCCCATCGGAAAGAGCACCATACTCAGTTCACATTATTCATATTCGAATCATGTATGCGGCGAATGGCACTCGGCCCGAGCAAAAGTCATTGGGAATTGGGTCTATAATTTCCCCCAGCAACAACGTCAAAAGCCTCAGATATGACGCCCAATTTTCCTATTTTCCCCCATTTTCCTCATTCACTTCCCATTTCAGCCATTTCCTCTTTCAAGTTCACTTTCGCAAACATATCGAGAATGTTTTTCAATGTTTGTTGCTTATTTTGTATTTTGTATTTCTTGGCAATGGGAAAAACCCCCAATATGTGTCCCATTTTGAAATTCTTCTATTCACAAAAACGCGCCAAGATCGACCAAAAGTCTCCATGACGTCATGAGCCACACTCGTGACTCCACAAGCTGCAGGCCCACTTCTTGGCTTCTCCAGAGCCAAGATTACCTTTAAGATTTAACTACCATTTAGCATAGATGTAAAAATGTTAGGAAATAATAATAAAGTACAAGAACCTTTCTAGAAAAAGTTCACTTTATAATCTTTAGAATATCCCTTATAAAGTATATTTTTTTTCTCCCTAATCTTTCTCCCTCTCCCTAAACTTTTTATTTTTTATCAGAGCTTTTTCTAAATTTCATCATAATGAATAATAATTTTTTTTATTATATTTCTTTTCTTAAATGTGACAGATCATCTTCGTAAATAAAGTCGATCTTCAGACCAAGTTAATAAAAATTGTCAATAGCTCCAAATATTTGGTATTTAGGAGTGGCTCACATGATTGACTCGAGACCCTTATATAAATAGAGGTTCTTTTTAGGTTTTTTTAACTGCATATTCTTATTATACTTTGTTACTATTTTCGTTCTTTTTTATTTTCGATTTTAATCACATGGTTACTAATAGAGTAATCCCGATTTTTTTCAAACCCATTCAGTTTGAAAATAAGAGATATATTTTAATTAATAATTCCCGATCTTTGTTTTGGAATTTTTTTGTTTATTCGGATGCTTAGTTGTTGGCGTTAATCAAATAAGTTAGCATGCCTAACTCGGGACTTGTGTCTATATGGTTGAGGATTTTCCTTTATGGTTTATATCATGATAAAGTATTTAATTCTTTGCCTATTTTTAATTTAAGAGAATTTTTAACAGGTTCTCTTAACTAAGTTGTGGAGATACTCTCCTATTGTATCTGTCAAATAGTTTGATGTTTTTTTTCTTTATGATGGTGTTTCTATGAGCAATCTTATATGAGGTCTTATGCCATGTGTGTCCTCTAATCCCCTCACATGTGATGTGTTCTGCCTCGGTCGACGTCTCTGCCTACGTGATAGCCAACGCGTTGCTCCAAAACCGAAAGTCTAAATAAAAAAACAGAATGGAATGGAACGGTCCCGCCTTTAGTTGTAAAAGGGGGGGTGCTGGTGAGGTGAGAACCTCAAAGTTTACAAATCATTGGATCAGGGTCAGGCGGAAAAGAGACGGCCAGCTATTGTAAACAATGCAAGGGGCGACCTTCAATCGGAATGGGGATTGGGGTCTTCCCCAAATGGAAATTTACGATGCCATCAAGGTTTTGTACCCATTTGGTCCACCTCACCTTCTCGTTCCATTCTCTGTTCTCGACCTTGGCCCAGTTCCTTTGGCTGCCAAAAAAAAAAAATGTGTTCCATCTGAACTTGAAAGTTGTCGTCCCTGGGAGCCGCTGGACAGGATAAGGAACGTCCCTGAACCGGTTCAGGTGAACGCCTCGACGACGGAGACAGTTCATCAGCATCGTACGATGGGAATCAACAAATAACAACATTATAAAGTAGAAAATATACCCATACAGTAATATATGGGACAAACAAAAGGCGAAGGAATGGGCTAAAGATTTCCGACTAACAGATACCCAAGAATAATTCATTTCCGGGAAAATATTCAATCAAATATTATGAATAAAAATCTAAAAAAAAAAATGTTCTGGTTATTTTAAAGAATTTTCTTATAAAGACCTTCTTTTCTATTAAGTTTTATTTTCACTGCAGTAGTTTTTTATCTTAATCTTGCCAGACTTTAGCCAAATAACCCTAAACTAGTCCCGA